AACATTTCTATAGTATCCAAAGGCAGGAAAGCCAAGTATTCTTGTAGAGGGAAAAATCTTTAGCTGGAAATTCATCAACTGATGAATGTCTTCTTTAACAAAGAAAGGGAAACTTCAGGATTGTTCTAGATCAACAGAACCTACCTTGGACCCATCCTGGAAGTGACTCTGAGCATGTATGAGTAAGGGGAGAAAAACTGAACAAAAAGAGGATTTTGTTTAAAAAGAGAAAAATCAGAAGAAATACATTCTCTGAATGAAATGTGATCTTGTCTATCCTGGACCTAGCAAAGGGCTTCTTTGTAGGTTCATATCTTTTCCATGTGTGGGCTTAATTTCAAGCAAATGTGAGTTTACAGCATTAGAAATAGTATGCCATTTGTTTTTAAATTGCCCTTTAAAAATAAACAAGCATGGTCTGGTATGTGGCTGGTAGGGTGGGCAGCACTGATTATTTAAAAACATTAGTTGCTTATCTTTACTGAATACATAGTCATACACTTACCATTTATTTCTTTGAAATGTGTTTGCATTTAGTTAATGGAGAGCATAGCATTTCTAGACCATCTCATCCTTAAGGGACACAAACCTACAAAGACTCCCTCCTCCCCCACCCATGCTCTCTATCACTGAACTGTATACATCCATTTTGTCTGCTTGTTTTTATTACTCCTTCCTCTTCAGGCTCTTTATCTCTCCCTTCCCTTTTCCTCCCATCTCATTTCCTCTAAAATGTTTTATATGTATTTGAGAAGCATCACACTCAAATTCCCCAGTAGAATTAGGTAGCTGCTGAATTTTGTTTTATCACATTTGATGCTTTCATGGAAGATAGTGGATATTAAAAGAACCTTCCCTTTGGTTGTGGGCAAGTCATTGTGTGGGTATCAGCAAGGTCGTTTACTTACCTCTTCCCCTGTCACAAGCATGGCAAATAAACTCTAATTTTGTTAGGTCTAGATAGAAAACAGCTGAGTTAGAATTGTCCACACATGGTCAGTATATTTTTAAGTTCATGATTATTTGTAGAACAGTTTTGTTTCTGTGTTTTTCAGAGTTGAAGGAAAAAGTTTTTATTCTCTTACCACAAGTTTTGAAGTTTAAAATGTATACTTTCCCTTTTGTTAATCTTGACTCCTTAAGTAACTCTTTATGTTCTGCTTGGGGAGCAAGCTTTCTTGTGATCTCAGCACAGGAAGGGAGCCAGTCAGCTGGCAGTTTCCATCCAGTTTCTTGCTTAAGGGTTGGGTGAACCAGATGGGCAACAGCCCAGACCTTAAGGTTGTAAAGAAACACTGGGATCTCCTCTTATCACAGGCCCTTTACTTGAAGTTCTTCCAGAGTGTGTAGAGTTGTGTGCCTATCTCTTTTGCATATTATTTACTTAAGAGACTGTGTTTTAAACAGCAGAATGGATAGAAGGTGGCTTAAGCTGCTTGGCATTTATCTCCTTTTTTTTTTTTTTTTTTAAAAAAAAACCCACAAGGATATAAAGAGTGGTTTTCTTTAATATCACATTCTGCTGAACATTACTGATCCTCTGTTGATGGTTTTCTGCTTGATTGCTTGCTCAATGATGTGTATTTTTTTCTCCTGAAGCTGTCACAATGACAAGCACGTTTCTCAGCCCTAATTGTAGAATGCCAGCATAATTGTGTCAGAACCATATGCTCATCTGATAGGCGGTTCTTCACCGCGGTGGTTGTTTTGTTTGTTTTTGGTTGTTGATTAGCAGAAACCTTTTTTACTTAGTATTTTTTAATGATGGAGTTGGGCAATTCTAATTAAAGATTAATGAGCATTGCTATAGTTTGAGAAACATTAGTTTTGGTTCTGGCTTTGCCCATTTAGCTTGCTACCTTAGGCAAATCTAGCTTGCTAAATCTTTTCCCTTGATGATAAAATAAGTATATTAAACTAGATAATTTAACAATACCCAGAAAATAGTGCTTACTGAATAGTGTTTACAACCATTTGACGACAAGTCTGGGTGCTTCTGCTGTAAATGAAGGTAAGAGCCCAGCCTCTGTGGGCTTCCCATTTTAGTGGGAAATGGAACCCTGAATTTTTGGAACGACAGCACACAGCACTAAGTTTCCATGTTTCTGGGTGGTGCAGTAAGGGCCTATCCAGGTCTGAGATACTAAGAGTTACGAGCGTGGTAATTATGGCGAATGCATTGTTGTGGTTGTCTTCTCTTGATGGTAGTGATTTGTTTAAGAAACCATCTTACAAATAAAGGAGATCGTGTTAGGTTCAAGCTCTTGGAGCTATTTTAGGAATATGGTTATTTACATAGAGCTACGCCTACCTTTATGGTTGACTATTCACTATTTATTAATTATTTTTATTGTCTCTGTCAGTCTGAGTGACACTGTCAGCTCTGGGGTTGTAAATACAGTGGTCACTGATAGAGTTTGTGAGGCTCACCCTGTGCTTGGTTCTTCTGTGCTCATTATTTATTTCCTTATTAGCAGTTTGTCTTCAGCTTCTGTCTTTAGCTTGTGATCATATGGCCAAATATTATATGATAATATGTTTGGGTGGGGCAGAGGTATTTATGGTGAGTTGTAGGATATGTTCCATAATGTGTTCTGTAATCCTTTCCACAAACTGACATGAATCTTTTCTAGGAGTAGACCAGGAGTTTTATGATTTACCAGGTAATTCATGGATGTTTTGTAGAACAGAAATTACATGCCACCTGACATAGTGAACTCCTGCATATAACCTGATATAGTGGTCTCTTCCATGATTAAAATATGAACAGCTATTCATTTGTTTAACCTGACAGTGGCAACTTTAGTTTTATGTTTCACTGCTTTTCTGAATATTTTGGCCAAAATCCAGCTTCAGTTGATTGTTCCCCTGTTTCTCACAGCCAGAGTAATTAGAGAGCCGGTTTATTTTGGTTGGCCTATACAACTGTGGGGCGTTTTTCCTTTAACTTTACCTAGAGAGTTATTGAGATCTCAGAATGTAATTAGAAAATGTATACTAGAAATCAGCTTTGTGTTATACATGACTAATGTCCATAATATTCTTAAATGGGTTTGTGAAAAAAGACATGATAAAGGAAAAAATGTTTCCTGTGCAGTATAGGTCCAGTTGTGTTCTTGTTGGTAGGCATTTTGAGTTGTAAATACGTAAGAATAGGAACTTGTGTGTGTCTGGTAGTTAACTCTTCCCCCCTTTGTAGTTCTGCTTTCAGACGTACTACTGTCCTTTATCTTGCCATTTTACTCTATGTTTCTTCTGGCTGACATGGCTTTTCCCTGGCTCTTCCTTGGGTGAGGTGGTAGTAAGGGTTCTCCGTGGCATTCTATAATATTGAACAAAACTGGTTTCCAAACTAATACTGTTCTTATTCTTGCTTTTAGCTATCCATCCATGTGACCATAGCTCCCAGATAGCATCTCTAGTGCATATCTTGTCTGAATTTTTAGAACTGTCTTTCAAAGCCTGTTTTCTCTATTGGCTAGCTACACATTTCCAAAAACCTGTCAACCACAGCAAATTTCAAATCAAGTTATATGTCTTTACTAGCTCCTCCTTTCCTGAATATTGTCATGTTTCCATGGGTAACCTTCCCCACTCCCCCATTAAGTTCTGAGATTTGTTTTCTCTTTTTCCATATTCAGAAGTTCTTCTGTCTTTCCCATAAGATTCAGTTCTTATCTCCTCCATGATTGCTTTGGCCTTAGTAAAGAAGCATATCTCCCAGATAGCTTGTACATCATAGTCAGGTTGGGCTGTTGAAACAAGAATCTTATCACAATCATAGTTCAAGTTCTTGACCTTTAGAACCACCTAATTTCAGGCTGTGTCCATGTGAAAGCTTGTATTGGGGCTTTCTTGTTAAACTAAACAGCATTCTACTATATTGAATACATAACATGTTTTAAAGGGGTCCCTTGTGTGGTCTGTGAATCTGCCTTAAAGCAGCTCATTGTACTTTAGTTTTCCTGTTAAAACCCTCTTCATGCCTGTACTGTTTAGAAAGCTAGCTGTGACATTACCCATTGGCTAGCGTGCCAGCACGGAGAACTCTTTCTGGAAGAACTATACTGGGAAAGGGAGCAGACGAGCTTGAGCTGGCCTCACCCACCCCCGGCCTGCTGTCTTTGTGAACTAGGTTTGCTGTACTTGAGAAGTCCCTCTTTGCTTGTGTAAAATTTAAACTAGTAGTTACTTTTAGATTTAATTAAATCTTCCTTTATTAGTTGTGATGGGATAAATCATTAGTATATTTTTTCATTCTATAATATCTTTATTTAGTTTGGATTAGAACCTTTAAATGTTTTGCATGTGCACGTGCGCGCGCGCGCGCACACACACACACACACACACACACACACACACACACACACACACACACAGTGTTTCAGCCTGAGTAGGGTAGAGACTTAAAGTTTGGTTTTTGGCTTTAATTGTTTCCTCAGAAGCTGAGCTTTTGAAAGGAATGGTGCTGGTGCATCACAGGATTTAACACCAGACAGAAAAGCAATCATACAGTTTTGTTTCAATAAGTTTTTCATTGCAGCTAAACACCCAGCATTTAAAGTTAGATCTTATAATACTTAACATTTCTGTAGAGTTTGGTTTTAATGTGAGAAGTTGTAGTGAAATGTATCTCAATACTTGCTAATACTTCTAACAACATTTTCTTAATAAAGAATAAAGGCTGAGAATAAAAACAATCCTTAAACATTGGATTTTGTGTTAGTTGCCATATAACTAGTTCAAATCAAGTTAAAGTAATCACTATCTTGAGTCTGGGTGATTTTGTGTTCCAGCATACAGTTACTCCACTGTGATGTGTGATTTGAGAGTTCTAACAGAGCAGCCTTCAGTTTGTCTTGTTCTTCTGAGCCACAGTGCCTTCGTCCTTTGCTCTGTCATTCCTCTCCCCACCATGTCTCCCCCTTTTGTCCCTTTGCCACCAGACTGCTAGTGAGAAAGTTTCTAAAATACTATTTTGTGTTTTTATGTTGTTGCAGTGTAAGCTGTAACCATGACTACTGAAGTTGGCTCTGCATCCGAAGTGAAGAAAGGCTCTGACCAGGCAGGAGCAGATGCACCTAAGGAGAAAGCTAAAGAAGTCACAGAAAATGAGCAGAATCAGTTATCTGAGCCAGAGGAGGAGAAAGGTTCCCAGCCAGGCCCTGCAGTTGAAAGCCAAAGTAGTCCCCGCCGCCGGAAAAGAGAGAAGGATCCATCTGAGAGCAGGGGTATTTCTCGGTTCATACCCCCATGGCTTAAGAAGCAGAAGTCTTATAACTTAGTAGTAGCCAAAGATGGAGGAGATAAAAAAGAGCCTACCCAAGCTGATGTGGAAGAGCAGATCTTGAATAAAGAGGATTCCCTTCCTGAAGAAGAGAGTCGGGCCAAGGGCGATGCAGAAGAAATGGCTCAGAGGAAACACCTTGAGGTTAAGGTGGAGGTCAAGGAAGAAAAGTCTTCCTTGAAAAGCAGTGCTGAGACCCAGGTGCGTTAAGGAGTTGAATTGTTTAATTTGTTTCCCATTCCTGTGTCCAGATACTGCCTCAACCTCGTGTATCTGGAATATAGAACTTGGATTATTGTATTGTAGTCTTCCCAGTGAATCTTCTTAAACCCAGCAACAGAACACAGACTCTCTCTTATGTGCCCGTGTTTCTGATTGAGCAGTCTGTCAGACCCTCCCAACTCTTCAGTGAAATTCATGCTCTTTTATTTATCTTTATTTATATATTTAGTTGAGAGTAAGAAGTGGATTGTATATGTTTTGTTTGTGTTTGGAAGCGTAGGTTTTCCTGTGGTTTAAGCTTTTAGAAATTTTGTTATCTCAGTGCTACTTGTAGTATAATACTGGGATATAGCTTCTTTTATTTATTCATTTAATGCCCGAATAACTAACCTGGCAAAATGAAGGACAGAAAATACTCTTTCTTGTGTAATTTTTGAGTCTTAAAAGGCTTAAATTTAAAATGATTAGATGTATGATCATAATTCCATTAAAGATTCTCTTTGGGGCCAAGGATGTATCTAGAGTGATTGCCTACCACATTCAGAACCCTGAATAAGTTACCAGCACTAAAGAGAAAAGTAAATTTTGATTCTTTTTCCTATGTTGTCTTCTATAAGTCTGTTAACTTTAATGTGAACTTAATTTTTTTCTTGGTAGCCTGCTGAAGAAGTAAGGAAGGACAGAGAAGAGGAAAAGATAAAGGAAACCCAGGAAGACAAAATGGAAGGAGAGGCAGCAAATAGGGAGACCAAGGAAGTACAGACCAGTGAGCTGAAAGTAGAGGTGGCCTCTCAGAAAGCTGCCAAGAAGACCAAGGCTGTCCTGGCCAAAGTGACCCTCCTAGATGGCACCGAATACAGCTGTGACCTTGAGGTGAGGCAGGAACTGAGCTGAGCATCCTCTCAGTAGGCGGAATGAAGGTATTCTGCTCTGTGGTATCATGGCACAGGGAACACGTTTCTTGTTGCATCAAGTTCCTACAGGCCAGTATGTTTACTTCCTTTTAAACACAGTAACGACTGTGTGAAAGAGTCATCATTTGCATTTCACACAGCGCTCTTGACCAGGGTGGAGTGGGAATGAGGTTGTGCTGTGTGCTCACTGCTTGTGTGGTGTGTGTCTGTTCTGAATGACCAGCTCTGACTGTTACCTTGATAGGATGTCTTACTGGAGAAAGGATAGTTATAAGTTGATTTTTAAAATAATGAAATTTTAGCAGTGAACTCTTATCCTGAGAAAGAGAATGATGTAAACCTAGGTCATTAATTTTGTTTATGATTTGTAAAACAGATAATTTATTAGCACTGGGTTCTTAGGATTTGTCTTAGCTTATTTATTTTCAGAGTAACATTTACTCACATGGTGTACACTAATATGGATCGTCATGTTTCTTTTCTTTATATAAGTTTTGGATCTGTCCTTGATCAGATTAAGTCTTTTTTGTTGTCTGTGCTGTTTAACTGCTTTGATTATTGGTTTCTAAGTGTGTTAAAATGGCTCTGGAATGGTCTCTTTGGTAATTTGCCTTAGTATTCCTGTAAATTTATATTTCCTAAAATCTTAGGCTAGATTATTAGACTGTTCAAAATTATATATTCTTGCATAGTTTTTCTTATTGCTTTATTAAACTTTAAACTCCTTTTGTTTGGTAATAATATTACTGTAGTAGCTTTATTTTTGTTAGAAATTAACTGGTCCACCTTCTGCCATTTCAATTTTGAAGTGACTTTCTTTTAAAAATTACAGTCTGTCTTGTAAATGGTGAATTTGCACAAGTTTTTATCATAGTACCAGTGTATGTGATTGAATCCTACCTTGGGTTACTTATCTCTTTGCTTGCTACCCTTTTTCTTTGCTCTACTTTTGGGATTGTCTATACTGTACAGACACACTGATTTGAAGTTTGCTCCTTTGTGCTTACCCCCCTCTCGTCTTCTTTAGTGTATATTTATTAGCTCTGTGATCTCATTTTAGAATACTACAAAGTAAAAGTGTATCTGGTAATCTTCTGTGATAGATTCTGTATCTCAGGGAATCAGTTGGTTGTGTTGCCCAACTATTGTAGAGCTGAAGTAGTATCCTGGGATAGAAGCTGCAACTTAGTTCTTTAATTCACCAAGAACTAAATGTGTTAGAGAAATATTAAGAATCTTGTAATTTTTGAGTCTCTCTCTCTCTCTCTCTCTCTCTCTCTCTCTCTCTCTCTCTCTCTCTCTCTCTCTCTCTCCCTCTCTCTCTCTCTCTCTCTCGGGTTTTCGAGACAGGGTTTCTCCGTAGCTTTTTGGTTCCTGCCCTGGAACTAGCTCTTGTAGACCAGGCTGGCCTCGAACTCACAGAGATCCGTCTGCCTCTGCCTCCGGAGTGCTGGGATTAAAGGCGTGCACCACCACTGCTTGGCACATTCTCTCTTTTTTAAATATGGGATTGTTTATGTTTTTGAACAAAAGCATTTTAAGAACAAACTTTTGCAGTCAGTATATCATAAATCACCATTATAGCAATTGTGTTGAGTGATTATCTTACTCTTCAAGTACACAGCAAGACAGAATTGAGTAGATGCTCTGGACTCTATCCTGCAGAAGATATCATGCACCAACAGCTCACTTGAGCTCTGAGCAGGGACTTTAATATCTGAACATAGAGTGTAATTCGCCACATTCTAGTAGATGTTGGAGCAGTGCAGAGGTTATGAGTAGGATTCCTTTGTGATTAATGTCTCTTTCATCTAATTTTTGTTGTGGTGGTTCTTTGGTTGCTTGGTAACATTAATTTGGGTCTACTTCTCATCAGACCTGCTCTATTTCCTCTTCATCAGTGGAGCCCAGAGGTTGATGAGCCGTGGTCGGGTAAGCTCATGCTTTCCCGTCTAATGCTGGCCTAGACACTCGGCTGATGTGCTGATGGTGCTTATCTGTGTTTCTGGAGATCCACGCCGGAAACTAGTGTCTGAGTGCCATTTGAGGAAGTAGGTGTGGGAAACTGTAGCTATTAATGAACTTTTGAGCATTGAAAAAGGCACATACAGTGTAAGGCATATGCTTTTTTGGCTTGGGAGAACTGTCAGTAAAGTTGTATTTCTCTTATGGTTTTCCAGATGAATATAGTTCTTCTTTCATTTCTGTATATACTTGTGTTAATTTTCAGTTATCCTTAGATTATTTGACATGCACAGTAAAGACCTAATGATTTTTACTTGGGGCATCAACAGTGAGTGGTAGAGGGGAACCATTAGAAAACTGATCATTAGCTTGGCTTGGCTCCTTTAATACCCGCACTCTGGGAGGCAGAGACAGGTGGATCAAGTTTGAGGCAGGCCTGGTCTACAGAGTTAATTCTGGGACGACCAGGACTTCACAGAGAAATGCTATCTTAAAAAACAAATATTAAAAGAAAATCAGCCACTGCAGAAACTCATGAAGAGGTGGAATGTTTAGATTCATGAGTTTTTTATGGAATAGATTGAAGTTTTGGAAGACCTCAGTTACCAGTATAAGATTAAAACTGAGCAAAGGCCAATATGCTGTTTAAAATTTGGAACGTGTTAGCTGTGTTGTTGCAGTAACCGTGTTTTGAGGTTGTCAAAAACTCACTGCATTGGTTAGCATATTTTTATAGGTGACAGTTTAATCTGTTGCCTTTATAATATTGGGTCAGTTTGGCAAGTTCCTGTTTGTATTACTTATAAGTGCTTTTGTCAACAAAGAACCCACCTTTAACTATGTGATGTAAGTGTTACTGTATAATACTTGAATGTTTTTTAATGCTAGGAAACAATTCTGCGAGATTTTTTTTGTCTTATCATTTCTGCTACCTAGGTCACTGTATACATAGGTAGAATTAATGTGTTCATATATATTATTATTTTTACTGGTTTGTAAATATATATAACATTTATATGTCTATATACCCATCAATATCCATTCTCCTGTGTATGTATATGTGCCATGTATGCATGTAAACATACATACTTTTTTTTTTATTAAAGATGGCTTAAGTTACTAAGGATGGCCTCAGACTCATGAGCTGAAGATGTCATGTCCTCATCCCTCAGCTTTCCTGAGTAGGTGAGACTGTAGACATACATGTGACTTCCCCTTACTTTTTTTTGGCTTTCTGTTTCAAAAATTTTTTTTTTTCTCCCAGGGACGACCTGAACCTGTTCCTTCTGCTCTTGAGCCTTAGGAACTTGATAAAGACAACTAACTGTCAAGTAAACTGGTTTTCAGGACCTGTAGGTGGAGTTTCCCTGTCCTGCAGTTGCTCTCAAATAATCACTCAGAAGCTTAATATTAATTAGAAATGTTGAGCCAATAGCTCAGGCTTGTTACTAGTTAACTCTTACACTTAAATTAACCCATATTTCTTACCTATGCTTTGCTCCATGGATTGGTACTCCCATTATAGGGTGCCCATCTTGCTCTCTCTGTGTCTGCCGGCCACTCTCTTACTGTGACCTTCTTCATCCCAGTATCCTCAGTTTGCTTGTCCTGCCTAACTCTGTCCTGCCTTGCTATAGGCCAGTCAACTGCTTTATTAATTAATGAGAGTAGTACATATTCACAGTGTAGAGAAGGATATTCCATAGTGAAAATCTTTTTGTCGTCATTGAAGTTGGTGTTCTTCTGAGGAAGGACAGTGCAGGTGAAGATTAACAGGGTAAAAGAATGCTTCAGACATTTGCCAGCCTTCCAGAGGTGGAGGTGACAAGTAGATTGGCTAGCGGTGCATTGTTAGTGAGGGTTATAGTTAAGCTAAAAAAATGACTGTGGAAATGGCTTGATTGTCATGCTCTCTCTGGCTTATGAATCAATAATTTATTATGACTTCATGCATTTCCTTTTATCCAGAACTTAGTATATTTTCATAATTTTGTTTCAGATTGTTAAGGCCCTTTTTGTTATTGCTCATGAAAGTTGCTATTTATGTTTTATTTTATCATCTGTTGATAAATTTAATCATATACTTGTATTTTAAATCTTTTGAGGATTATTATTATTACTGTTTTTGAGAAAGTCTCAAAGTGTATTTAGCCCTGGTTGGCCCAGAACTCTCCATGTAGAGGTTTACCTGCCTCTGCCTCCAGGGTGTTGTGATGAAAGGTGTGTACCATCCTATAACAATATCCAGTGAGGATTATTTTTTTTACTGAGGGTTATATCAACTTTTATCTTATTAAGTTATTTAAGTGATATATGACAACCTAGTTTGGTACTAGAGCTCAGTTGCGAGGAATATTAGGGTTGCCTGAACTCTGCATGCTGGCTCCAGACACTTGGCTGTAGGACTCTCTGTGATGCTGCTGTTGAAGTCATTTACACACTTGGTGTGCTAAAACAGCGGGTTCTTTCCTCTAAGGAAAAGTACAGTAAGGTTTATTTGAAGTCATGGGTCTAGCCAGGAGAGTGTTTACTTTCCTGGTGACTCTTTATATGTCTTGGACAAGTAGCTTCCTGCCTTTTCTTCTATTCTCAGATTGCAAAGTAAGAATGAAAACATTGGCTTCCTTTATTTCTAGGATGGAGCTGGGTTTTCTAGCATTTGCAAATCTGTATATATGTTTTAGAGTTGGAAAATTAGTGTGGACGTTCAGGAAACTTTTGAAACGCGAGTACATGTGCATTCTGAGTAAAGGCTCACATTTTCCTCTGGCATCTGCGCGTTTTTCCCACATGTTGATTTTGTCTGAGAATTGAAGGCATTGTTGTAACCCACACAGGAATGTCATAACCATTTTTCCTAAGGCAATCAGAATGCAAGCTCTCAACAGCAGTGTTCTGTGGTGAAAGTATTCATCAGAAAGCAGAGAATGTGTCAAGGTCCCCAGGCTGCCTTTGTACTGATTTTGGGTCTAAAAAATCCTATTTGTTATCCTT